TTTGCAGATGATACTAAGCTGGCAGGAATAGCTAACACCCAAGAAGATAGGCTCAAGATCCAGATGGATCTTGACAGACTAGAACACTGGGCCATATCTAATAAAATGAAATTCAATATAGAGAAAAGTAAAGTCCTACACTTAGGCAAGAAAAACCAAAAGTACACATATAGACCGGGTGAAACCAGGCTCAATAGCAGTAACTGTGAGAGGGATCTTGGAGTCTTAGTGGACAACCAGCTAAATATGAGCCAGCAGTGTGCAGCAGCTGCCAAAAAAGCTAATGCAATCCTAAGTTGTATTAACAGAGGGATATAGTCAAGATCAAGGGAAGTAGTAATACCACTCTATAAAGCCTTAGTAATACCACACCTAGAGTACTGCATCCAGTTTTGGTCACCACATTATAAAAAAGGTCTTGAGACTCTAGAAAAAGTACAGAGAAGAGCAACCAGGATGATTAGGGGACTGGAGGCTAAAACATACAATGAATGGTTGCAGGAACTGGGCTTGGCTAGTCTAGTAAAGAGAAGTACCAGGGGAGACATGATAGCGGTCTTCCAATATTTGAGGGGCTGCCACAGGGAGGAAGGGGTCAAGCTATTTTCTAAAGCTCCTGTAGGCCAGACAAGGAATAATGGATGGAAACTGAACAAGGAGAGATTTAACCTGGAAACAAGGAGAAACTTTCTGACAGTGAGAACAATCAACCAATGGAACAGCTTGCCCTCGGAAGTTGTGGGAGTGCCATCAGTTGAGACTTTCAAGAAGAGATTGGACTGCCATTTGTCAGAAATGATGTAGGGTCTCCCGCTTGGGTGGGGGGTTGGACTAGATGACCTACAAGGTCCCTTCCAACTCTGATTATCTGTATCTGTATTGAACGTAGTGAAACCGGTTTCACATAACTTTTGGTCAATATCACATAGATATATATTTTCCTATATACAATTATTCAAATGTATACATATATACATTTGTTCATTCATATATTGCATTTTCCAGAATCATTGGTCCTATTTTCATCTCATACATTCATTTATCCTCTCAACAACTCTTTTCCCAACTTAAGACCTTCCTTTCTGCCCCCACCAGTGGTAAAATCTATTCCAAATTGCATAATATTCCGACACGTCTTTGTTTTTCATCTCTAAAGTTAGCTTGTCCATTTCAGTGCTTATCAGAATTTTGTTTATTACTTCGTCTTCACTCGGTACGTCTTTCTCCTTCCAGTTCTGGGCAAATGCTATTCTTGCCGCAGTAATAACATGTATAATCAAATATAGCTCATCCTTGTTGTATTTTTTTTATATGATTCCTAATAAAAAACATTCTGGTCCATGATCTAATTTAAAACCCAACATTTCCTCCAACCACTTCCTTGTCCTAAGCCAAAACTCTTGCGCTTTTTTGCAGCTCCACCAGGCATGGTAATACGTTCCCTGTTCCATTGAGCATTTCCAACAATTTGGGGACTGGCTTTTGTACATCTTAGCCAATCTGGCTGGTGGAAGATGCCATTGATAAAACATTTTAAGTAAATTTTCCTTATATGCAGTGGCCAGGGTAATCTTTTTATTCCTTTCCCATACTGCTTGCCATTGATCCAATTTGATACTATACCCGAAATCTTAGCCCATACCACCATTGTCTCCTTTACCTGTTCTTCTTCTAATTTGTAGGCTAATAGAAATTTGAAAATTTTCCCTATTAATTTGTCCTCTGGTCCCAATAGAATTTTGTCTAAAACTGTTTCTTGCATGTTAATCCCCCATTCTTTTTTTCCTTTTTATAACTTGCTTGTATCTGTAGATATTCCCACCACTCTAAATCCATCCCCTGTTGCTTTAAGTCCTGTCTAGTTTTTAACTCTCCATCTTCATTTAAGGCATCTTTATAAATGATAGCTTTCCCTTGTTTTAATAAATTTGGATGTGTTACTGCCTCTAATATTGATATCTAATTTGGCATTTCTAAATATATCTGCTTTTTAGTTTTATTCCAGATCTTAAATAGTGCTTGCCTAATTCTATGTTGTTGAAAGTGTCCGTGTAAGCCTGGCTTGTCAGGCCATAGGAACACATGCTATCCTTGTTGCAAGTTGTGGCCTTCTAACTGCAAGGTTCTTCTATTTTCTAATACTATCCAATCTGAGTCTAGACCTTTTATCTGTGTTTCCTTCCTAACAATTCTGGTCAATACTTCCAAGGTGAGTATAAAAAGTAATGGAGATAATGGGCAGCCCTGTCTAGTTCCTTTTTGAATCTTAAAATCCTTTGTTACCTCTCCATTTACGATTATTTTAGCCTTCTGTTGCGAATATATCGTACTAATAATATTAAAGAATTTCTCGCCAAATCCATGTTTGATTTGTTGTAAAAGGAATGTCCATTTTACGTTGTCGAAAGCCTTTTGTGCACTGAGGAAGAGTAATGCCATTTGTTGATTGCTGGGTATCTCATAATATTCTAAAACGTCCAATATAGTTCTCATATTCTGTTTTATTTGCCGGTTAGGTAGGAAGCCATTTTGGTCTTTGTGGATAAATTTGTTTAAAAATTTTTTGAGTCTATCTGCTACTATTGACACAAAGATCTTATAATCGGCATTTAGGAGTGATATAGGTCTATAGTTTTTGATTAGAGTTTGGTCCACCTCTTCTTTTGGTATCAAAGTTATGGTTGCTTACTACCAGGATTGTGGTGCTTTTTCCTCTTCTAAAACCGCGTCAAACACATCTAGCAGTAGAGGTGCTCGTGTATTTTGGTGTTCTTTGTATATTTCCGCTGGGAGGTTGTCCGGGCCTGGTGCCTTGTTGATCTTTTGTTTATTTATTGCCCCAAATACCTCAGACATTTTGATCTCTTCATTGAGCATCGTTTTTATCTCCTCTGGGATTTTTGGCAGTTCTGCCCTTTGTAGCAATTCCATTGTCTCTCCTTCTAGGTATTCATCACTCTCTTTATATAGAATCTCATAGAACTCCTGGGCTATGTTTTTTTCCCCCCTCTTCCTGGTAACATATTTTCCCACACTCATCCTGTAATTTGCTAATCTGACTCTTTTCTTTTTGTTTTCTCAATTTGTGTGCTAACCACCTCCCCGGTTTATTTGCATTTTTGAAAAAACTCTGTTTTGTTTAACTGTTGTGCCAATTTTTCTTTTTCTAACTATTGTACTTCATGTTTCACTTTGTTCATTTGTTGTTTGAGATTTTTAATTTGTGGAACTTTCTGTATCATTGTTTGTAATCATTTATACTCCTCTTGTTTTTTCTGCTGGTATTTTTTCTCCTTATTTTTCTTTGCCATATATGCTATCACCACCCCTCTCATATATGCTTTAGTCGTATCCCAGAGATTCTGTAATGATGTCTCTTCTTTTCTATTTTCACTAAGGAAGAGGCCCAGTTCCTTTTCTATTCTTGATCTAAATTCCTTCTCTTTTAGGATTATGCATTGAATTGTCAATCTTGCTATTTTCTTATGTCCTCTCCAGCTATATTTAATGGGGTTGTGGTTGGCCCAAAGACTCGATTCAATGTCAACTTTTCTGATGTCTGTATTGATTCCTCTTGGCATCCACACCATGTCAATTCTTGAATATGATTCGTGTCTATTTGAATAGTGAGTAAATTGTTGTACCTCCCGATTCCTTTCTCTCCATAAGTCTTGTAGGTCTAGATCAGGGGTGGGATCCAACAGGGTTAACTACCGGTTCGGTGATTTACGAGGTTCGGTGATTTACGATGTGCTTCCCTGCATGCTGCGCGCGCACACACCTGTAAATCAGCAGCAGCACGCTGTGTGCAGAGAAGCAGCCTTTCAAAAAGCACTTTTTTCCTGCTTTTTAAACTGCAGCTGTGCCTCGCATGGCAGCTGAAGTTGAAAAAGCAGGAAATAAAGGTCAGGTAAGAGCCCAGGCGGGTGGGTGGGCAAAACCATCAGCACACTTAGAACCGGTTCTATGTCTGCTGCTCTTCCGAGCTACCAGTTCTACAGAGGTGGACAGAACCAGTAGAAACCCACCCCTGGTCTAGATCCTTAACCAAATCAAAAAATGTTCTGGGTAACGTTCTTCTATTTCCTTTCTTTATTTCATTACTTTTATAGTCTAATTCTTTGTCTACTATGGCATTAAAATCCCCAATTACACATATTTCTTCATATTCTATGTCACAGATTATGTTATATAGCTTTTTAAAAAACTGTTCCTGGCTTCCATTTGGGGCATAAATCACAGCTATAATTATTTTCTTATCGTTCATTTCCACGTCTATAATTAGAATTCTTCCTTCATTGTCTTTGAAAATTTGTTTGGCTGGGAATCTATCTTTGACATATACTACTAGACCAAGTCAAGTCCAAAAATGCCAGGGAATTTCTAAAAGCCTGGCACTCTGACAAATCCCAGATCAGCATAGAGAATCTTTAAAACCGCCCCCAACCAAACAGAGAGGCAAGTCATCAGAATATAAACTGACAGCAAACAGTACTCCTTACTAGCACTGATGATGTTGCCTAGTTAGGGTAATGAAACGTCTGCAAGAAAACAAGCAAGTTCAGAGAGCACCAAGGACCCCTCATTTCAACCCTGAGCTACAAATATTCTCCTTTATTGGTAACCTCAGAGAGTGTTGAGATAATCTTTCTCATAATAAAAATAAGTGGGAAAAAGGAGATTTCCATCTAAGATTTTAAAAAAATAAGATCAGAGCTTTTAAAAATTAATAAAATCCCTGTAGTGAAAATCTGATACAAATATAAATCAAATCAGGTCACTTTCACTACCCAGGAAATTGCCATCAACTTTCATACAGAGAAAACAAAAGTGATTTACAACAGCTAATAAAGCAGTAAAAGGTAGCACAAGAGTTCAATTTAAAATCCAGCAAGGGGTTTTAAAACAACCAGCTGAAAGGAAAAGATGGAAACCTAAGCTTCTAGTCATGCCTACCAATAATTGCAACCTTCAAGATTCCTCTTCTCAGGTAGGTCCACGGTCATCCAAGGGTAATCTAGGGTCATTCCTAGTAGCTCCCATTCAAATATGGGAAGTATGCTACCAAAGAGCCAGATTTGGTGGTGAAAGCAGCTGTTTTGTCAGCAGGAGAAAAAAAATCACCCTGCTGCTCAGCATGCCATCTTTGGAGGACCTCAAAGTTAGATTGTGACTGGGCAGATCTAAGTGAGTTGCCTGGAGTACAGACTCATGAGATCTTGAGTGAGTTAGATTCTGTGAATCTCAAGGATGTGGACACGATCCTCCAATCTATCAGTCTGGCCATCAGTCTATTACATCCCAGGCCCTTTGGGGTTAGTAAGGTAGCCCAGGAGTGACCAGGGGATGAGTCCATACAGTGGTATCCGTTTCTTTGAGGGAAGGTGGAGGTACTGCTGGCTTTGAAGGAGGCATTGGTGCACCCATCCTCAAAAGGCCATTGCTGGACCCCTCCATTCTGAATAACTACCACTCAGTTTCCAATCTTCCTTTTAGAGAAAATTGTGGCAAAAGTGGTCAGATGGCAGCTGCAGAGGATCTTCGAGGAAATGGATTATCTAGACCTGTTTCAGGTCTGGGTATAGTACTGTTGTACTTGTTGATTATCTCTGGCAAAACCGGGATTGGAATGGTGCCATCCTTGTGCTCCTTGATCTCTCAGTGACTTTTAGTACCATCTACCATGGTATCCTTCTGGACCAGCAACATAGGTTGAGATTGGGAAGGCACTGTGTTGCAGTGGATTACTCCTTCCTCAGTGGTTGGAATCAGTTGGTATTGGTGGGAGAGATCATGCCCAGGACCCCTCACTTGTTGGGTGCCCCAGGGCTTGACACACTCTCCCTTCCTCTTTAACGTCTACATGAAACAGCTGGGTGAAGTCATCCATAAGTTTGAGGTTCAGTATCATCAGTATCATCACCTGTATATTTCAACCCTGGGTTGTGCAGGTGAAGCTGCTGATGTACTGGCCCACTGTCTGGAGGTTCTCTGGTTTTAGATGGGGAGGAACAGATTTGGGGTCAATCCTGACAAGACTGAATGGTTGTGGTTAACCCCCTGGAGAAGGAATAATTGATCCCATGTTCCAGAGCTTGAAAACAGGATGGGAGAAGGTCTTCTGTTGCATGCCAGAAGCACAGGTCTTTGATAGTAGGCCAATCGTCAAAAGGGTCTCTCCAGAGAATTGATCAGCTGGACAAGTTTGTAATAGAAAATAAGCTTTAACTCAGTAAGATCCATTGAGGGATTTAAAATCAACATCAACATCATGAACAGTACAACTAGCACATATCCTTCAGAACAGGCTTTATATAATTCCTATACTTTGCTGTCACCGACTGCTACTTTTGGATACTTTTTATGGATAGCCCCAATACACATTACAACAGTCAGTTCAGAATGTGACCAAAGCATAAACTACAAGATGAAATCTAACCTGCTCAAAAACTATTCCTACAATCCATCTCTAAACATCAGGCCACAAGCAATCAGCATTTGAGGTTCCAGCACTCTATCTTCTCCCAGTAATCCAGAAAACATCCAAAAACAAAAGCAACATCAAGATGTAGTTGCTAGAAGTGGTGTGTGTGTGTGTGTGTGTGTGTGTTGGATGAAGAAGACAAACATAAAGCAGATTGAAGGAATTTATCACTGTACACAGAAACTGACACATATCACAATGTACGAAAAAAAAAACCACAGCCTTTTACCTGTTTGTGAGCATGGTCATAGGAATTTATATGGTTGTCAAACTCCTGGTGTTTCTGATACTGCTTGTCACAGAGCTCACAGTAAAAATTGGCTCGAAGGTCTTCAAGTGCCTTGGCAATTGTCTTTTCTTTGTCCACATAATCCTGCAATAGCAAAAGGAGATAAAAATGACCAGGGAAGACTTTCATTAAAACATTTAGCCTCCTGGTGCAGAGTCTCAGGTTGCACACAGCTCCTGCGTTCATTTTTGTACCTCTAGAGTAATTTTTATCATGCTTACAAATTTCAGTGGTGCAATTGCAGAAAATTGATGAAGCAGTTTCCCATTGTTTCAAGAAAGAATCCACAAAAAAGCAGGTTTGTAGGCCTTAAGAAGTATGGTGTGACTTCTTACTTCATTAACGCCACCCACTAACAATTACAACTCACACAAAAATATTAAATGTAAATCCCAGTTACCAGTCTACTTAGCTCACTTGTTAGGAATCTGTCCACAAATTAGTTGGGTTGGCAATATATAAACCAACAATGCATGTTTGTAGCTTTAAGACAAAACCACTGTATTGATTTATACTATATTCCGATTGGTTGATTATATTACAAATTACCATAAGAGGGAGCTAGAGATCATAGCTTGCTCTCTCTGACATTCTGTCTCTCTGACATTCTGTTGCTATCTAAGGTTCTCTGTTGTATTTATGCTGTGTGTTAGGAATCTGTCCACCAATTAGTTGGGTTG